TCAATCTTATAAATAAAGCTTTCTAGAAAAAAGTGTATAATATATAATTATATAAAATTTATCTTTATAAAGAATTAGCTCAACATTTCTTCTAATAAATAAAACTTCTGTAGTCTACAGCATGTATTTATCTAACCGTTTTTCGCTGATATCGATTGCAACGTTGTGCCATGCTTTGAGAGTAATTGTTTGCGACCCAATATTTAATACCTTCCATTTGAGAGAAGATGCGCCGCGGTCTAATTCGATGTAACTTTCCGATACACCGACTCGATGCAATAAAAGGAGAAAAACGAGGAAAAGAGGACGTGCTTCGCTTGCGCTTCTCGATGGATCGAAGACGCTCCGCGTTCGCACGTTCGAGAGCAACGTTGTGGAGAAAGGAGACAACGCGGGGCAGACATAAGCCATTTAGATTTTAGCAAGAAGTTTCGTGTTACGCGTAATACTTACGGCACTTCGATATTTTTGGAGCGTTACCGCGAAATGCATCCGCAAAGTTTCATGTAGAATTCCAGACGTCTTCGAATTCCGCGAGTTGAATCAATTAATCTCTCTATATATACTTAAACAACATTTTTTATTAATACCCCACGACAGACATATTTACGCATAATCTGCCATATCTCATATTATGATTAATATTAACATTAACATGATTAATCACGAAACAAATGTTTTTGTAATTGTCTGATGGATTTATGGCATGTGCTCTTTTTTCATGTATTTTTAAATTTTAATTTTTTTAATGATGCTATTTAATGACATTGGATAATATTTTATTTACTTACGTTTTAACTTTTAATAATTCTTTTATGTTCGCATTTTTGCATTTGTAAAAATTGTATTGTTATATATTGTTTTAAAGCCAAAATTTACGCTCTCAATCTCTCGAAAGTGTTTCCCGATAATACCGATGACAATTGATATTTAATTTATCCGATAGATATGCTATTATATTGGAAAAATTAATTGATATCTTTCAAACGACGGCGGTTTTCCGCAACCGCGATGTTATTAAATAACTCGTCGCGATTAATATCGCGAAACAAAACGATTTTTATGAACTCGCGGATAATGAGTTTAATATATACCCAATGGATTTTTCGGGAGGACACTATTAACAATACGTGTTGCTTTGAACTAATCACCTAATAACTTTTTCAAGACATATACTTGTTATTACATATATTCAATTGTATGTCATATTTGAAATAATATTTAATCAAAAAATGACCTATCTGACAAATCAAAAATGCCAACAAAACTCACGCGATCTAGAAAAACGTGAGTACGAACAAAATCAAACGTTCTCCACATTCTTAAATAGAAACTTTTCCTTCAACTTTTTCCGGATTTGGTGAGAAAAATTTCGTGCGTGTCTCTCGCGCTCCCTCTCTTTTCTTTTTCTCTCTCTCTCTCTTTCGACGGGACACGTCCTGAATCCGAAGACACATCGCTCCGTTCGAGTTCTCCATGCGACTGAACAAGCTGAGAGGCCGGGAACATAAGCTACTTGGATTTCAACGAGGAGTGTTGCGTTACTTTCACGAAAAGCGGACGCCTCGACGACATTCTCCGCGTTCTTCGTCTCGTAATCTCTTCAAACGGATTGCACCCGTAGCTAACAAATACATTTGCGCGAGCGTCGCGTTTGTCCTGAAGAACTAAACAAACGAATCCACTTTGCTTTCTCTCTCTCTCTCTCTCTCTCTCTCTCTCTCTCTCTCTCTCTCTTTCTTTTTTTTACTTCTTTGTCTGTAACGTCTTTTGGTAAATGTAATGATCTGATTTTTAGTAGAACTTTATCTCTGCGATATTACTATACTTTGCGTCTTTGAGGTATGATCGTGAATCATCGCGAATGGAACATCAAGAGGATTGAGAGCCTTTTGTACGTTGCCTTTGTACATCTTCGCCGTGTTCCGTCGTAGGTTTCTCTTCTTCATCGAGCACTCGCTGCGTCAATTTCGTTGGGGACGGCGAGAAAATAGTTGAGATATGAGGGACTTTGGGATATCCCAAGTTTTTGCATTTCGGTCGCCGGTCGAAACCGTAGCCTGCCGCCTTGTCGTAACTTGGCGGGAAGTTTCATCTTAGCGAAAATCAAAGAGAAACCTTCCGAGAAACTTAATTTCTACAATTTAATTATACAGCAGATGAAGCGTACTTTACTTCAAAACTGAGACGAAAATTGTTTATCTAAATTTTTAATTTATTTTACAATTGTGTACACCTCGAGACGCTTCTGCTCCAATTTGGCGATCGCAACTTAGGGCGTTATTCATTGTCAGTCATTGTCCAACCGAAAACAACACGTTTACACTGTTAAATTCATAGGATTAAATTAAACTCAATTTTGAGTAATTTTTAACTATTCCATAGGTCGCTACTGCTCCTACTCAATACATGTAGTTAATTTAACTAAAACAATGTTAATTTGACTAAACCAATGGAGTTAAAATAATCCTATTTTGTTTCAAACTAATACATTTTGATGCACATGCTAGTTAAAAATAACAAAATAAATCTAACTCATGGTATTGGTTTAAATTTCATTCTCTAACCTTTAACAGTGTAGCTTACTCGATGTAAGCCGAGATTTAAATTCCACGTAAAATTTTTAATTAAATTTGTTTACGTGATGTCTTTTCTTGAAATGTAGGATACGTTAATATAGAATCAGGTCAACGCTTGGCGAAAATATCTGGACCCGTGACGTTCGTCGTCGTATTTCTGTCGAGGTTCGCGTTAATATTTGGAAACGAAAGCCGAATACACTGACGAGACTGATAAAAAAATACGCTACGTTTAAACAAACGGGGAGTGGAGAAAGGCGACCCTCAACGAATGATTGGTTTCGGCGCCGCGGGCCATTAGCAAACACCTGAAGCTTCTCGCCCCGCTGCTGGAGTTTCTTCGCCTCGAAGGAGAACTTTCAGCGGTGAAAGAAGAGCACAATCGGGGGTTAACAAACTCATCCATTTCGAGCTCTCGTTCTGACCCGTCCTGCAGTTTTTAAGCCTTTTTTTGCCACCCGGCCACGCTCGTCGTGCCGGCTGCAACGCCAAAAACCCGATTAACAGTCGGCGATTGGAATCGGCTGCTTTTTGTGCTGCATTGTGGAACTTCGCGCGGTATTTCGAGCGAACAGAATATTCGACCCTGCGGTCAGGCATTTCCGGATTTCGCTTTGAAGCCGAAGAATTTCGCGATTGTTAATTTGAATAATTGCGAAACATGCAGGCCAATCGATGTATTAACAAAAGAAAATTTTTCTATGACATCAGAGGTTGCGTTTCTCTATATTCATTACCAGTACCGAAAATCTATAGTATACACGTGACGTAAACTATAGATTTTCAATACTGACAGTGAATATCGAAACGCAGCTTAAATGTATAAAACGCTGGTATCGCTATTTATATTTTGATGCACACGTGCACACGTACAGTTCAATTTTTACTTTATTTAAATACATTACGTAATACATTAAAATATACAAAATATTAAAATTGAAATATATTAAATATCATATATACAGAAAATTTTGATTATAATTTGAAGTTTCCATTACTTATATGCGGTCGCAGGATATTGCGTTTATGGAGTATCAACATGAGAATAAAGATTCTTTGACAGCATCCTTCCGTAAATTTTCTCACTCTGCTCGTCTTATAATACACGTAAAGGCTTTCTCGGGAGAGGTTTTACGTAGCCACCAAGAGTATCGTTTTCTCGGAATAAAGTAATCAGTGAGGCGAGCGGCGGCCGCGGAGAGGGATGGAGGACGCGGGCTGAAAAAATTGATGAGGGACTGTTGCATGAATTTTACGCCACACCGGCGTCGTTACTTTGAAAAACACCTGCACTTGGAAGGATGCTGAGAAACTCTTCCTTAAAGTCTATTAAACGTCTTTAATGAGACGATCTTGGTACACCAACAGCAGTTTTATTTTATTATTATCTCTCTCAATTTATATCTTTTATTTTTATTCGTTATCTTTTCAGACCGGTGTTTCCATTGTCAATAAATTTATTTAAATCCAGTTTTAAATGTGACCTGTTTAAAGAATTCTTGTGCAAAGGCAGAGAGAGAGAGAGTGAGACCTTTATTCCATCTCTCACGTTCTAAAGTAAATGCAAAGAGTAATCAAATTCATATTAGAAGGCACTGGGAACCAAGTGTCGTTTTACGTATACGCGCGTAACTTTACTTAACGAACGGGTTTTGATCGCTCCGCCTGTAAATCACCCAATTCCTAGACATAGATTTTCGTTTCGGTAGAGACCTCGCGAGTACTTTCCTGTAATGCGCGAGAAATTTTCGAGGTGAAACTCCCGGAGGATGTTCCACCAGAGTTCATTCGTCCGTGGCGTACGACGTCTCGAACGGTTTCGAATTTGAATTTCTGTATTCGTACCGAGAGATAGAGTTCGGGTCGCTTCAAACTCAACCGGATAAGCTCCGGCAGAAACTCTCCCGGTAATGGGAATCATCGAGCGGGAAGAATCGATTTCCTTATGAAAAGCGCGACGTGACCGAGATTTTATATACGTTGGAGTTAATCACACTACGTGTTTCGATCGAGTTTGAAATTCCCATATTTTGTATAACATTCCGTCTCGCCGGTTAACGCATAATTTATCGCATTGTCGCGCCGCAATCCGATTTGCACGAGTTCCCAGCAATTATCGATATGTCATTAAGCTATCTGTTCTCAATTACGCATTTTGATGATTTCTAATTTGCGCCGACTGAACGCTCGATTATTACACGAATTTCTCTTTTTACTTAACTCGACGTTACCGTAGATGTCGATTAATTTGACTAATTACGCCATTGTCGGAGAGATTTTCGCTATCTTTGGCCTTTAAAAGGATTTAGTTAGTCAGAGCTTTTAAGAGATTTATGTAAAATCCAATATTCCCGGCGTTAAAATTTCATTAAAGTGTGTCGATAAATAAATCCCATTAACGAGCCTTATTGTTTTTGGCAGAATGCGCGGCCAAGAACGGAAGATCTGTAGTGGAGCACCATCCGTCCTCCTACTGGGAGCAACCCTTTAGTCAGCCTTACTTCGACAACACGACAAAGAGGGAGACCACAACCACCGTCGGGCAATCCGCTTACCTGCACTGCAGGGTGCGCAATCTTGGCGATCGTGCGGTAAGTTCCAAGTTTCCTTATCAAGAACCCGTCGTTGTAATAACAGCGCTCGAGTTTGGGAACGCTGTGTATTTCGCGAGTATAGATTAAGATTGCGAGTCCGTTAAACATCGCAATAAGACTTTGATTTCGAAGATTATTTCGTTTTATTTTGTTTTATGAGATATTTTATACTTTGTACAGTTGAAAATCATATTTATTACAGTTGAGTCTCTCCAAAGTATTTTTACATCGCATTTTAAATCTTCTTTTGAATCAGTCAATTTTTTTTATATACTTATGTTTCCTGATTTATTATTTTTATCGCGATAACAAAGATTGCTGTTCTTTTTATTTCGTGAGAATTATTCAAAGATTTGTTTCAGTCAAAATGTACCATCGTTACAACGATAATATTGTTCGCTTCTCCAGTATAATCCAACCAAACACAATTTTAGTAAACTTACCATCGGGAAGATTAAAGACAGAACGTGCAAGTCGAGAATTCGGAAAATATTGCGGAATTATTTTGCTCGAATCTATATACGGTAGTCAATAATCTTGCTGCGCTGTCGATGTCGCCCATGTTTTTAGAAAAAAAAATTAATTAACCGATTGTAATCTTCTTATTATGTAAATTATGCAAAGCTTGGTGGACGCTTTAACGTTCGATTATGCGTCAACAAGTCCTCGCGATTAAATTTCGCCATTATGAGAGGATTCAATAAAGCGAAAGCGCAACAAATTTGTCGTTGCAAAATTAAATCGCGGACGCTCATTTCGGTAATCGCGAAATTTTCAATTATGTTATCATTTTACGCGAAGTGTATTTTTCAAATTCTATCGCGTGTTCTTTCGCGCGTTGCTTCACGCTGGCGTTGATAAATTTAACGTACGTGCGGGCGCGTGAAAGTCTCCCCCACGATTGGAATCACGCAATTCGAAGTCAAATAAATTCGCAGTTACGGCGTCGGCGGAGGCATTAATCCGCAATCGTTTCTCGACAAACTTCGCCGCTCTCTTTACTAATGCACTTGCACGACCTGCAATTCGCGTATATACGAGTTCATTCCTCATTTACCCACGCGACATCGCCTCGCACTTTTACAGTAACCTAGTTCACATCTTCGCGCGCGCAAGGCTTTTGTAACGCCTTTTCGCGTTCTTTTTTTTTCTTCCCTATTTCCGCCCGCGAACTCGCAGGGCAAGTATAACTCTCCACGGTTCAACGTGCGCATACATTTTCTCGCGCAAATTTAGAAAATTAACAAAGCTTTAACACACGATCTTCTGTTCGAAATATTTCAAACTATGACCATTGTACCGCGAAACATTATTTCTAGCGGGAAATAATCAGAAAGTTTATATTTGACTGACATTTGTTAAATTGTTACGCAATCTAATTGTGCCGTAGAAAATTAATTCTTTGTGTGGGATCTCTTTGACGTTATATTACTGAGGGGACAAAACAAAAAAAAAACACATTTTTACAAAGAAAATAATTTATATTCTTTTCAAAATTTCTTTTTTATTTCATTTTATTTTTTAATAAATCGCTTTTATACACCGCTGCCCGTTTAATTCACGTCCCATCATTGTTCGGTCACGTGAAGTGGCGAAGTGGTGTACGTAAACGTTATAATAAAAGGTGGAGGTATTGCGCATACTAAACACATAGTCGCGACATTTTTTCAGGCGGTTTAGTGAATTATTAGGCCGCTCGGGCCCGCGCTGTTTAACCCGGTATTCATCACTCGCGGTCCTAATGCAAAGTAATTTCGCGGATAGGCGCATAGGTCACCCGGGCGAACGGTGACATTACGCGTTATCGGCCCGCTGCTCATGCATCACCGCATGACGCACAGGAACCCGTCAGAGTCCAATCACCGATCGTAATCGCCGATAAATCAAATTTCTCTCGCGCCCTGCCGCTTCGCCCCTCTGCGGATCTCTCTCCCTTTAGCTCCCTTCCGCCATTCACAGCCACGCCATCGGCCTTCAATAACGCGGCGTACGCACATGCATCTGGACGTTTATATTTGCGATCGTAGAATCAGCACGACCATCGCGATTGCGCTTCACCTAAGCGCCTTGATTTCGCACCGGTGACAGATTGTCGCGCGACAGCCGGCTGTCAGTCGAAGGTTTTCTCTCTCATGCGCATTTGCGTGTGCATAATGCCATCGGAAAAACCGATAATTACACCAATGAAGAATTTCAACGTTAGTGTTTTAATCTTTAAATCTTGATATCTTTTATTTGCAAAATATACACAGAAAAAAAAGAAGTGTCAAATCAAAATTTATATACTCATACATTATACTTACGCAATAATCTATGATCTTCTTATGAGAATTTCAACTTTTTACTTCAACTTTTTTTTTCTTGGTTGAACTGAATATGAAATTACTTCATTCAAGTAAGTTTTCTTCGTTTAATCGCAATGTAATCTTGTTTCAAGATTTTTATGTTAAAACTATTTTTATGTTAAAACTAAAAATATTTTTAAATTAAGAATATTCTTTTTTTTCTGTGTAGTTTAGCGATGTTTCACACTTTATTTTACGCTGATATATTTTTAAAAGCGGAATGTACGTTTAAGACCGTGACATAGAATCTGTGCGACATAACGTCGAACTTCTCGGTTTAATGTCCAGCTTGAGTGTATCTTACTATAACAGCAGGTGTCTCTTGATTGCGCAGGTCTCGTGGATCAGGCAGCGGGATTTGCATATCCTCACTGTTGGCATTCTAACGTACACAAACGACCAGCGTTTCCAATCGTTGCACAGCGATGGTAGCGACGAGTGGACCTTGAAAATCAGTTCGCCGCAAGTGCGAGACAGTGGAATCTACGAATGTCAAGTCTCGACAGAGCCGAAAATTAGTCAAGCTTTCAACTTGAGCGTAGTAGGTATGTGCGCATATATATCTCTTCTTTTATACGATAAGATTCAATCGCTAGCTTTAAGTAAATCTACTGGATTTTGATTAAATTCTCTCAAGCGTTAAGAGGAAATAAAGAGTTATGCAAGTAAATTACAATCAAAATTATGATGAGATAATTATTTAGAAGCAATAATAAACTTTACAGTCAGAAAAGATTCTTTTCTATCACGACTTGCATTAACAGAAATAAAGAAAGATCAGTGTGAGAATGGGGATCTGGGGGATTGTGTTTTAAAACGATTACAAATTTCCCGTCGCACTTCAATAACAGTTTCCGAAACCGTTTGTTTCTTAAGTGAATTTTTAAACGGCCGTTTTCGAGCGGTTCGACGTGGAGTTAATTGCAGCTTTGCGACGATTTAAACGAAATTGCGATCATACTTCTTGGGCCCGGGCTTTACTCGACGATCCGTGCCGCGCTCCTTGGCCAAAAACTACTTTAACTTTGTTCTGTCCCCGTGTGCAGTCTCGAAGGCAAAGATCAACGGCAATTCGGAGCTCTACATCAAAAGCGGGAGCGACATCAATCTGACCTGCATCGTGCTGCAAACGCCAGAACCACCATCCTTCATCTATTGGTGAGTTTGAGCGTTCTCCCTTGACGATATAGCGCGGATTGAATTTGTTCCACATGTTATTTCGACACAGCTGAAGTTTCGTGAAATCCAAATCTACACTGACCTCCATTCGGTGGAGGTTTATCGAAAAATTTCAAACCCGAGCGCCCTTAAAAACGAATCTCCGATGAAGTGAATCTCCGCTGGCGAGTTAGTCCTTGGAGGCGATGGTTTTTAGAATCTATAGATAATCTTGCGTTTGCGCTGATCCGCAAATCCTCGTGCATTTTTACGTTCGCATATTATAAAGATACATAAGGGATATTCAAATAAGTTAAAGTTTAACGGTTTGACAGGTTATGTCGGGTTAAAGTCGAGTAAAAAGTTAATTAATTAACTTTGGGCGCGCTACTCTTTAAGGTTATGCAAAATACATAAGTGTTTCATTAACCTATCACATTAATCTTTGGGTTAAAAGTGTAAAAATTAACTTTTTACCCGACTTTAACCCGACACAACCTGTCAAACCGTTAAACTCTAACTTATTTGAATACCCCTATAGCTTTTTTAAAGTGGATTTTACCTTACATTCAATGTTCGCTAATTTTTCAGGTACAAAGGTGATAACGTGATAAACTACAGCCAACGCGGGGGCATTAGCGTCGTGACGGAGAAGCAAACGCGAACGTCACGTCTTCTGATCAGTAGAGCGCTGCCAGCCGATTCCGGCAATTACACCTGTGCGCCATCCACAGCCGAGTCAGCGAGCGTCCTCGTCCACGTGCTCAATGGTGAGTGAGTCGCGAATAAAAATCGTACATCACTGAAAATCCTCAATATTATCGCCAAAATGTCGCAGTATGTCTCCGTATATCTTTCTCGCTATAATATCGGCAAAATTATTGGCCTTTCCCGAGGTGGTCCTTTTGGATGGTTTCGACGCCGACATTTCGAAATAAAATTTCAAACGCATGTAAATATGTCAGCGCGGATAAAAATGCGCTGTATACGTTAAAATTGCCCGAGAGATACATTCAAATACAAAGTGATATCTACCCGTGTCAACGTGTCACTACAAAAAGGCTTTATATTGTTCGGTTACCGCATGGATTTTCGGCAAATTGTATCTTTTTTGGAATCAAACGCTTTACATATTTAAATGTAGAAAGATCGGTAGGTTCTCGTCATCACAATTGCTTTATAACTATTAATATAATTTTATAATTTATTGTAATTTATTCCTATTATACATATATATTTAGTGAGATACGAAAGAATAGAATATAGTTAAATTAACGACATTTATCGTTAAATTTGATGAAGCTTTTCGTAGACTTTGCCGGAAACGAGGAAGCATAAAATCAATTAATTAATCTCAACAATTTTGCATCAGTTTTAATCAAGTTTCCGATAAAACGTTTCAAGTATTACTGCAAAAGAAGTTTCGGTCTGCTTGAAGGCAGGTTAAATAGAAACAATTTCAATTCAATCGCGTTTGTATAAATAATGCGCATTCGCACAAAACAGCTTTGCATATATACCTGTATGCGTGCACGGTGAAAAAGTTTCAGACGTTTGATCCTGATGTTCGTAAAATTGGCAAAATAAAATAAAAGTTTCCGCAGTTTAGATACAAGTAGGAGAAAACGGCAGAATCTCAAGAAGGAAAATTAAATCGCTCGAGTGCGCGTCATTGATTTTCTTTTAACTCGCTCGAATGCAGCATGCTGATTTATTTCTGGTTTATTTTAGGCGTCTTGAATATTTTTGAGATTGATATGTATTTATAAATCACATTAAAAATGCGGATCGTATTAAAATCGTGAAGGAATTAAATTTTCATATTACTTTCAAAGCTCGTTCGATAACGGATATTCGCGTTAAACAGACTTTAACAATTTAAAACAATTTGACATTAATTGTATACTTTCTGCAGTTGTAAGGCCACCAATTATTACACGTCCTCGTAGGCGGAATTAATCTCGCGTTTGCCGTTATTCGTAAGAGATTTACAAGTAATTACTGTAGGGAAACCTGCGCGAACTTACCGGAATGAAACTCTCGTCAACTGAGCATATATATATATGTATATATTCGTATCTAACGACAAACTATGAAGTCTCAAACTAACTTCACCGTTCCCTTCTATCCTCTCACGTATGTATGCGGAGTTATCGAGATTAGGTCCGTGGCTTTGTTTAAGAACTAATAGAAACGATGACGGTATCATCGAGAGACATCGAAAGATGTGATCGTAACTTTTTGATTAAATCGCACAAATAAGCTATAAATTATTTTATCGGCATTATATTTCCGAACTTTTCTCGTCAAGCAAGTAGTCGGGCAAGCAATTTATTAATAAGGTACATTAGCTGAATATCTGGAGTGGATTGCGTTTATCAACTCCCTATATATACTGGTTTCCAAATTGCCAGGATCATCACTACTACTTTCCTTCGGGGCCGAGGTTTAATGAAGCAAGGAGGAAAATTACAGAGTCCTGAAAGCCCGGTCACCCAATTCCGTTGTTCCAACCTACCGTGCGTTGCCTTCGTCGTCTGATGGTTATCGCGTTGACCTCGAACTCGCTCACGAAATCGCGCGTGTGCGTATGTACGAGAGTTCAGAAATAGTGGTCGGAACCCGCATTGACAGCAATCTTTTGTCGGGGAAGTTACATTATCCACCGAGTACACAAACCTTTACACAGTAACACAGACAATAGTCTTGTTGCATCGCGTCGAAATGGCTTTTCAGATAATGTCATTTAAACCGTTGCGATGGGCAGAGTTACATTTTAGAGCCGGGCGCGACTATAAGGGACGATGGGGGCCGACGTATTTTTACGACAATTCTCCGAGATTGCCGCGAAACAAGTACACGTTGACATCGTCCAACGAGCCGTGGACGAGTCGTCGATGGAGGACGACGCTATCTGCTGACGGACGAACACGGCGAACCGGGCGAACGAAGTCACGACCCTCGATTGTGCGAGACGAGAGCGCGGCGCGATGTTGAAGTCACGGGGGCGGGTGGGACGCGGGACGCGCGAAAGTAAGTGGAGTCGGACTTTACGGGTCGGGCCGTAAATCCCACGAGGGCTCAAGTAGAGGCCGGGAAAAGTGTTCTACCGATAAACTAAACGGTAAAGGCCATAAACGCGCGCGCGCGCATTGTCTGTGTGCGCGATGCCATGCCGCGTCGATATGCTCCGATCCGCTCAGCGCGCAACGCTCGGGGTCGCGCGTGCTGCATACAACCGGCAATAAACCGGATATTCTTGCCGCGCAAAGAAAGGAGGATCGTCGTCTTCTCTTTATTTCTCCGTGTCGCGCGGTGCGGCGCGTAAAATGCCGAAGAAATAAATCCTTCGGTCGTCTCTGCCCTTTTCCACCCTCAGCCTCTGGGGGATAAATCAGATGAGATATTGTCCCATGCAAATCCCCGCCCGGTTGCTCACCGAAGTGCGCTCTCTCTCTCTCTCTCTCTTTCTCTCTCTCTCTCTCTCTCTCTCTCTCTCTCTCTCTCTCTCTTTCCCCCCCACCTTCTCTCTCCTTCCACTGCGTGCACGTTCTCTACATTCGCACGTCGCGTCGTGGCACGCGAACTCCTGAGATATGCACGTCAAGTGGCTGCTCGACGGTGAGAGAGACTGTTATACACCGCGGATAATATCTTCCTATGCGCCCCCATTCTCTCCATGACTTCGATTCCCCGCCAGGATAATACGAACTTATCGGAAGCAATACCGCAGCTATCGGAAGTACTTACGCGGCCATCGGAAGTAAATCGCGGCGAGGGTATATACGCAGCGAATTCGGGGCAAATGTTTGCGGCACAGGGTGGCCCGCAAAAGCTTCTATTAACTCTTTCAATTTCGGGCCATTTTCAGTATATATCACGCTCGTTGTATATACATTTCTCGAAAAAATAGCGACGTTAATCGTGAAGTTCACACGACAAATAGAAAAATCTTTCCAGTCGACGATTCGAACTGGAATCATAATTAATTTAGCCGCAAAGAGAATTAAACGATTTTCCACACGTCTGCTTCTCTCTGCGACGCGACGTCGTACGGGCGGAAACCTACACGCAATGCGGAAGGAATTGTCAAGAACATACCTATTATACGCGAGAAATGCCCGCTGGCCAGTGCGACGCGACACAGGAATGTAAGTCCCCGTAATCTCCGTGGGACTTATCAAAGGACTTCGTTACTGCGTGCGATGTACCGCAATACTCGCGAGTTAAATTGTGCTAGTGTGCGAGAGAAAGAGAGAGCATTATGAGAAAGCCACCACATATATAATGCGCGGAATGCATTATTCCCAAAGTCGGAGTATTGTATATAATAGGGGCGCTCTCTCTCTCTCTCTCACATACAAGTGGGGACGGGGGTAATATCTCTCCCACTCTCTTGCTCTTCGCATTTCAACTTCGACTTCCCCCAGGAAGACTTCCCATCGGAACAATACGAGAAGGATAATGTCGGCGCGGAGATTATAGCACGGAGATAGCGCGTGTATAACGCACGATCGTATAATAACTCGCGCGCGCGGAACTCGTGAAATTTCAGTAACGAGTTTCGCGGTGTGTAACAACAAAGCGGCCGGTGGGCGCATTACGCGTAATTAGCCGCGATAGGCAAGCAACTCTCTGCGCGATACGTGTTTTCAAGTTGCCTTCCTCCCTCCGCCGGACCCCCTTTGCCGAACCGCGGAAGTCCGTTTGAGTAGCTCGCCAGTCACCGAAATATCTGCCGGCACGTTGTACGATCCCGCATCGACGCACCGCCGCGGCGCGCCGCGCCACGCGCCGTGCTGCGATCCTGATTAAATTATTTCTGCCTTGTTTATCATCACTCATGTGGTCTAATGCAGAACCGATAATTTTGCAATTGCAAATTGTATCGTTGAGCGAGATATCGCCGCCACGAGTTTCCAATTTTGGCTCGCGACGTAGGTATCGTCGCTTTTCGTATCTTCGATTTTCGAGTTTAACATACAACATGAAATAGATATTTTTGTCGAAGCTAAATACATAAAATAATAAAGCAGGAAATAAAATAAATTGAAACAAAATAAGAAGGGGATCCTGGAGTGACAGCGACACTGACGTAATCGATCTAAGCAATTGTTACGTCCAGCGGACTCTACGATATCCCTTTTTCGCGGGAATTCTTATGCGGCTAAGATAGCTCTAAGATTAGAATAAACAAGCCAAGTACGGACGGTTATCGATCGGGGTGAGGTTAGATCTCCTCGCATTCTTTTTTTTTTTATGATCAAACTACCCATTTGGTTGGGCAACTAAAAGCAACCCCTCAGATGATAAATTATTAACAGACGAGGGATATGGTGACCAGATTCTCGTCAACCTCGTCTGGGCCATAACTATAAATCCGGCAACACGACGCGCAGAAAAGAGCCTTAACTTCAGACGAGGGATGATGGGGATCTGTATTATATCGCGCGACTCACTCAAAACTGGCCGTGCTATGTTCCGACAAACAGAAACGAAACCTAATACGTGCTTTTAGAAATCTTAAGAGTACGTGGCGGAAGTTCTGTTTGCAATAAAACTGCACTTAAAATTGAGAAGTATGGATCGTCTGTCAGGAGGGAGACAGGGTCGCGAGATAAGTAAGGAACCCTAATAAAAGAAACGATAGCCGAAAAACAAATGCGTCACTGAAAAGAACCGATGGGTTACACCCCCAATAAGACATGTGGCTTTAAGAGGGGGGCTCACCAATAGAAAACCGCAAAAATCGATAACCGTCTCTAGCTTT